TACTTTCGTCGCTTCTGCCTGCAAAGATTTTGGAAAGCGGGGCAGCTCCCGGCGCTGAAGAGTTTTTGGAGCTATATTCAGGCCTGGTTTCAGTTCCTGAACTCCAATGCGAGCTGCTCATATGGGCTTCCAAATGCAAAACGGAGAAACGTGAAACGCCCGTCACGTCCGCCCTACAAGCGGTCGCCCTCTGTCCAGAGGCCTTATTGGCGACGAGATGTTTTTGGTTGCGCCACCTCGCGGGCGCCCTCCAGCGACGCAGCTGGTAGGATGCGGGCAGAAGACGCGCTATGTCAAAGCACGGAGTCGCTATGTTAGTTCGCAACTATGGAGATTAAAACGGTTTATTTATTGAAGAAACGCGTATAACGTTTTTGTGAGTAATCTTTCTAATAAATAACAGCGCCTCGAAGTTATTTTTTTGTTAGAAAAACTTTAAAATTTTCCAAAACAAGCCTTGAGCATTATATTACAGCTTGCGCGGCGTGCGTCAGGGCTATTGAGAACCTCTCCGACTCTTGTTTTCTTTTCTTTTATTTTTGGATTTGTGGAGGTTGTTAAAAAAAAAAGTCTTGCATTCACCAGAGTAATCGACTTACTGTCTTCTTAGCGGTGCACGTGCTCACAGTTGGGTTGGAAAGCGCCGCACACTTGTTTTAGCTGCATTGAGCTAAAACAGGTGTGACTCGACAGTTGCTGACGCTTAGCTCCTCCCGAATCAAAAACGCGGCAAAGAAAAATAAAAAAAGAATTCATAAACTCTTAAATTGTAGGCCATGTCCGACTGATTAATTTGTTCTATGCTATTTTTACCAAGAATTGTTTATATATTTAAAATCGCTCGCTGGGGAGCGTATCAGGCATTATGCTCATTTCGGTTCGCAAAAACAAAACATACAAACGGTAGCAATTTATAGCAGGTATATTCCACATGTTCTAGGACGCTGAAGTGTCACCGACTTACTAGATTACTTCGATCGCAATGGGATCTCGCACGTTTCGGGTCGGCCGTTTGAATAAGCAGAGATTTAGTCGAAAACGACTCCGGAAGCCAGCCTCCACTTCTTCCTGCCAGTTACTTTAAGGAAATGTTTGTTTACTGGTTTACAAAATATAAAAAAAAAGGAATCAACTCGGAACTAATAAGATAACAACACTCACAGAACACGTTGGAACCATGAGGATACACGGAGTCGCTTTTACTGAAGTGTTCACTACACACGCAAGAGATTCTCGCATTTCGCTTTACTTTTTTAAATTTGATGAGTTTCTTCTTTCTTAGTTTTATTTTGCTCGAATCATTAAAAAAAGACACCCTCATCGCTGTGGTAGACGCTGTATTGCGGCAAAGCGCTGGACATTCTATTTTCCTCGTTCAGCTTCTTGTACGGGATAGAGAACAGCACACCACCATCCGACCACTTCGACACCTCAGCTCCAAAGGTGTTTGCTGGCACGACTACACGTGCAACATGCGGTTTAAAGGTTTGGTCAAATGTCCTAATGCAAATATCACTTCACGCAATAAGCACAACGCGTACAGGCTTTGCCGCGCAGTACCCCAACAGTGCATGAATCGAGCTAACGAGCCGAGGGATCCGAGAACTGCGCGGTCTGTCCCTGTCTGTCTTACCCGTGACGTCACAAACGTTGATTATGACAGCTAGAGAAGCGCCCTCTAGCTCGCGCACAGCCCCAATTCCCAAACGTCTATCGTCTCTTCGAGATTCTAGCGACTCTGCGCGTAGCGACGGCGGGAGCTGAGCGCTAGTTCTCTTCACTACGACGGTTGAAAACATACCTGAGACCGTCCACTTCGAATGAGCGACTGCTCGATCTAGCGCTTTTGAATGTTCACCGCGACATTGAAGTTCAAGTGAAGGACGTCCTGGATATTTTTTATCGTGAACGCAGGTGGCTGCATCTTAATGTGTAGGCGCTTAGCATATATGAGATGATCAATAGAGCCTGTAAATTGCTTTCTGAAATAACTAGTCACATTTACTTTTTTATTCGTGGTAATGTCTAGTCGAAAGCACGTAATTCTAATCAGTACTCAAGGTGTGCGTGAGCGCAGAGCCACCCGTTGCTTACAGTGCAGTTGTCTTTACAAATCATTTAACACATCACTGCCATTTTTTTTATATTATAACCATATGTTCATTTTATTATGTTCGCTTTGATTTGGTTGAAGCGTGTATTTTAGTGAGGATTTGTTATACTTCGCCTTGAAATTGCCATCCTTCACCCCCCCAAGTGCTCCGAAATATCCGTTCTCAATATATCTGAGATTAAGTTCCGCATCCCATCAAATAAACATGAATAAAGAAATATTGCCGATTTTATTTATTTGAGCATTCTCTACCCCACAAACACTTTTCCGAAAGCATATAAATGTAGTACACCGCCCCCTCCCCCTCCCCCCCCCCCCCCCCCTTAGCTTCATGCCCCGTGCGAAACCGACTGGGTAAGCAGGGGAGCAAGTGGGCCCGCGGAGGAAGGGGGGAGGGAGGTGTGGGGCAGGTTTAGTATTTCATGGGGGGGGAGGGGGGTTTCCGTCCCCCGACCCCCCTCTTGCCCACGCCACTGTACTGAGGCAAAGAACAGTATGAGACCATTTTTTGTTGGAATTGCTTTTACAATGATACTGTAAGAGGAAATAAACACGATATTCTGCAGGTTCTTGGCCGCGACCGCAGATAGTCTATGGGGCAGCCGTCTTCCTATCCACACATTGATGATGATGATAGCGCGACATTAGCGAAACCTTTAGTTAGATCTCAAGGCGAATAGAGGTTTAATCGGCAGAGAGATGACAACCTATAATGCATTTTCTCTGAAAATTAAACCAGCCGTGCGTATGGCCATTATTGGATGTCCCTCGGACGCCCACTGAATTTCCAAATCCGGACATCCTCAAACGTATTTCCACAGTACGTCTGATGAACGTCCCATTCTAGCACTGGGTATTCGGCTCTTCTTTCGGACGTCCAACGGACGTCCATGGTTTGCTCGGCCGTCTTCGTAAGCTTCGTAGTGAAAAGGCGTCGGCGTACAAGCTGAGATGGGCAGGAACACGATGTGGGCGTGCAGAGCAGGGCTTTCCGTCGGCTGGCCCTGGCAGAATATATCCAGGTTCAGCGACCTCTTCCTTGTTTGTTTCCCCAACGGACCAAATTCCGGCGGCTGGCCTTGACTATGGCGGCTCGCTTGGGCTTCGTCTAGCTTCACACAAGGAAGTTCTCCGGGGCTTTAAATCGATCTTGTTCGGCGGCAACTCGAGAGCGTATAAGGAAGGGTCATAGAAAGTTACCCCGCACCACCAACAGAAATAACCCGGATGTGAAGGCGAAGCGATATGAATAATGAACAAAAAATAAAGGTTTAATCCGCGACCTTGCGCCACAAAACAAAAAAATAGAAAAAAATGCAGCGAGTGTCGACGGCGGCAGCAGGTAGCGATTAAAAGTCGGCATGACGGCTGACTAGAGCGATAGTGAATTAAACGGCAATACTGCACTCGGCTTCTTTTTTGCCATACTCGATCTCTCGAACATTTCGCCTAGTATGTTCGGGAGTGAGCTAAGGTAAAACTGACTACGCGAGGTCATTCTGGCCTCCTTATCTTTTATACTCCTGGGAAAAAGTAAACATGAATCTTCTAGAAGTACTACGTTCTTTTGTCGGTCATGCACGCGGCAATAGAGCGGGGAGAAAAATTTGTCTTTGCTCATAAATTGCCAGGACTTCAACTCGAGCAGATTTATGAAAGGGGGTGAATATTAAACAAGAGCCGTCTTCACCATGTATATTTATCAGACTTGGCAGGCATTACATGAGTAAACAATTACCATTTTAAATTAACTGATTAAAAAAATATTAATACTTTTTCAATATTCGTTTTTAGAGTTCATGTTGCAATTGCAGCATTAGTGAGTTTTAGTATTGCGAATGCGAGGAAACGTAAGCGCTTTGCGCGTGCGTTAAGGTTGTGAACTCCAAGGCTGCGCATGCGCGAAGTCGCCATGCGCCAATCCAAGGCCCTGGTTGGGGCTCCGCGCACGCGCGGTGTAGAACACGCAACGCTAACGCAAACGCACATGGCTTGCGATCACTCCTATACGCAATACTAGAACTCAATATTGACGGCATTTACCATCGGGAGACAGATCAGTTTAATATTTGCAAAATGTAATGTTTAATAAGATTTTAAAAGTTTCCATTTTTCGCCCGACTTAAATATTGCGCGCAAGATGAGCGCCGGACGCTCTGTACACAATGACGCTTAGAAAGTTACGTTGTCGTTTTAGTCACGTATGCACTTGTGTCATTGGCGCATCCACCAATGAGATGCTGCCGTGAGAGAGACGAGATAGAGACAACTACGTTACTCTTCGAAGCGTGTTTGTGGGCAGGGCTTGTTGGGCTCTTTTGAAACGCTATTTTGTAATCGATCAAAAACTAAAGCGGGATAATTGATCAATTAATATCTCGAACCCAATTACCATTTCCCTCTTCCTAAAACTGATTTAACCTCTAATAGTATTTGCCGTCTATACTGTCATTTGTACATAAATTTTAAAACCAATCGTTAGAAACGTGTTAAATTGAATTTAGTTGATTAGCCAACTTACTATGATGATTATTCTCCCATCTAATGTCTGTCGATTCTGATATATAGACGACGAAGATGGCACTGAACTGACTCTCAACACCTTTCTTATTGAAACCCTGTATATATTTTTTACCGTTTGGTGTCTTGTGAGATGCAACAAAGATCAATGAAGAAGTTGCACATCTAAGGTATTGTGAGCACGTAGCTCAAAGAAGATGAAACACCTGCGGTCAGTTTATCCACGCTCTTTGCTTAGAGCTTGGGAAATACTATCTAATGTTCCGCGATCTTGATGTATGAATTGAGGACAGTAGTAAGTTAAAATCCGGGGAACAAACGAAGTACACAATTAGCTTGCGACACCGCAAAGCAAAACGATTACACATAAAGATGTCACAGTGAGGTTTATTTTAACTTAAACCTATATTTAGGCACTCTTAGCTTGTCCGAAGGAGGAGATGGGTGCGTGGGAAATGGCGTGAACCACTGGAGCAGCGTGGATGGCGTGAACAACTGGAGCAGCGTGAACGGCGTGGACGGTGTCTGGGGTAGGCTGAACGGCCTTCACGACGACCGGGGCTGGGCCCTCGACAGCAGAGGAGGCGACCTGAACGTCAGCGGGGTTTGAGCTCTTGGTGCCTGGCTCGTTGGTCTCGACGGTGGCGTGGAAGCCGCTGGCGTCGGCGGTGTACTTCACGGTGCGGGCGGTTCCGGCGGCATCGGTGTAGCTGTAGGATCCCACTCTGGCGTTGTTGGCGTCGGCGCTCTCCTCGTGGGCGATGCGGGTGCCAAACTCATCGGTGTTGTCGTAGGCGAAGCTGTATGGCTGGGGAGGCTGAAACCAAAACAGCGCAGTCAAGATGAACACAAATATGTGACATGAGAAAATATAAAAAAAACAAAAAATGATGGTCGCAGACTATCAGCGGCAGGTCTGAGGTTCGATATTTATACAGCAATGTTTCGCTCAGTGTTTAGAATAGGAACCCATCATACTGTAGTGAGGAACTAAAGCCAGATTTGCGCGACTGCTAACCTCTACTATTTACTGTGCCTCACGCTGCAGTGAATCTGGGAGGTTGCTGATCTATACTGAAATGGGCACGGGCGCTTTTCCAACCAAGGAATGATTTCTGAGCTCCGGCTTTCAAGCATTCGCTCCAGATGTTAATAGCGGCCGGGCACTAAGACCATAAAACACGATTGCTTGTGTGCACTGATGACTATTCAGTCCAAGTTCACACGCTATTTTTATTTCTCTTTTACACTTAGTCAAATTGTAAAAAAACATCAGTTTGTCTGGGAGCCAATATTATGTCATGTGTGTTTTAATAAGGTGCTAGATATATTTCTGAGATTGAACCAAATTCCAACCGCTTGCGAGATCAGTACAAAGGATTTCTCTCAAGAGGGAACCATAAAATCGATACTATTGTATTTGATATTTTATTGTAAAATATTTAACAGTCTTATTTAATTAATTATGATAACAAACGTGTCAGTAGTGATATAGTTAACGCAAATTTTACGTTGAAAGAAATTGTCAGTTTTACTTACGTATTCTTCAACCACTGCGGCAGCCGCATAGGCGAAAAGGCAGCAAAGAAGGACCTAAAAAAAACATAGGCGCAGTTAAATTTCGGGGACTTGTTTCTGGACTCTAATGCTTCAACTTCAGTAAATTCTAAAGGCAACAATGCTCTTGCAATACGGTCGCACCTTGGACAACATGATGAGGGATGAGAGAGATAATCCTCTGGTTAGACACAGAAAGAACCTGGTCGTGAATCTCTTCTAAAGGCGCTTTTATACTACTTCGATTGCGTTAATGGGTGGACAAGGATTCCTTTAACAAGTCAATCGTCTACGCATTGCAAAGGGACAGGTTTTCGGCTTCGGACGTGCCTCAAGCGAGCATCGACATTGCTGATCGAGTGAGGGAAATGGCAAAGACATTGCCCTCACTCGCTAACTGCACTGCTAAGACGGACGTGCGATAAGCTCGAGTATGCGGACTTCTTAACTGCCCCGATTGCTAATTTTAAGCGAAAGGAAAATAGTACCACTCTAGACTCCACCGGTTACTCGGTGAAACTTGCGAAATCCTTTACATAATACTTTTTGTTCTTAGTGCACAATGGAATGTTAGGAAACGTTTCAAAGTACCCGACGGAGAGCTTCTTTTTTTTTTTTTTGTAACGAAGTAGCATTTAATCAGTTGCTCAGCTTTGGTGCAGCAAAAATTTGAGCAAGATCCGAAGTCAAATTTTATTTCCAATAATTGAAATTCGAACGAAAGGCTAAAATAAATTAAACACATAATCTGTTGCGTTTTTTATTTAATTGGGATTTCAGAGCCAAAGGCACAACTACGGTTCAACAGAACACTAGTTATCTCACACTGGAAACTGAGAATTGATCTTAATTATATTTATAACAATATTATTTAAATGGGGTTTTTAATGTGTAGTCATAAGTTTGCAACAAATGTAGAAAAGAATAAGTGATGTGAAATAAAAAAAAAAATATTGAAGAAATGAAAGCCGTTTAGAACTGCCTGTAATGCCGAATTTGAATGCAGCTCTTGAGGAGGGGGATGGACGGGTACCCCTCCTCTCTCCTCCTCACCTCGTCATCCTGCGTGACAACCCCCCCCCCCCCCCCCTGAGGTCCCGTGACCCCGTGACGCCGCGGAGGTCACGTGAGCCCAGGGAGGTCACGTGACCTCACGGTTACGCCGACGCCGACGCCGCTCAAGCCGGAAACGGGCGCCTGAGAGCTGCGCTCTAAAATAAACGAATATTTTCTTTATTGTGTTTTTCCAGTGGTTCCGTCGTAACTGTGGAACGGATGCTTAATAACCTTTTGTAAAGTGTGTCGCTATTTAATGTATATCAAATTTCCGAGCCTAGTGGGAGGGTCAGAAACATGGCAAGCCCTAACTTTTGAAGGGCTTATCAGAGAGAGCAGCACTACATTGTACAGTACGCCAATTTGTTGTTTATAAGAAAAAAATATAAAAACGTCTCCAAATCCATATAGTACACTCGTTTGTCCCTTAAATCGAGAACCAAAACGGTCTTACATGGCGATAATGTTTATTTCGAATAAGACTGAACAATATCTGTTCACGCGAGGGGGAAGTTTAATAACAGTTAGAAATCTCATCAGGTTCGTTAAGTAATCGTTATTGCGGTGTGGAGAGCCGCGCCTTCGTGTTCGCTAAATGTTTCTGGAAATTGACATATGTAGTCTCGTACTAAATACTGACATTCCTGTAAAATGACTTTCGTGTTATAAAGGTTATCAGGACCCGTAAAAAATGTCATATATGACGATATATTTTATATATGGCGTTATATGATAATACAAGGAATCAAGTACGGGCATATACCACCATATATCAGAGCAAATACCGCCAGACATTGCTATATAAGTGGGGAAATACTGTCATATATGTGCAGATAAGTGCGTAAATACGGCCATATATTGCTGTGTAAAAGTTCAAATACTGCCATACAGAGCCCGTTCAGGAGATATATGGGTAAACATATATCCCCTGTTAATGATATAGGGGCCCGTTTCGGTCGTGCAAGCAAAAAGTCAGATGTACTCGCGAAGACACTGGTGGGTTTATCTATAATGTATGAGTCTCATGTAATTGGTTAACTATTGTTAACATCCTTAAAGTGAAGTTATTCCAGATATTTGGACCAATTAATCAATTGCGCATTTGGAAGATTGAAAGACAAATGAAATTTGGTTGTATATTTGACGTGTAACAATATGACGAAGTGCATAAGAACAGAAAGCGAGTTAATCAAATAATGGATTCTAGATCGCAGCTTTTAGGCACCCGTTTCCGCGGTAAGCGGTGACGGCGTCGCCGTCGGCATCGGTGTAACCGCCCCGCTAAATTTAGGGAGAAATTGAATTTGTGCTTATGTCACGTGACGACAATTTTCTCGCTAAATCGAACAGTGAAACTAATTTTGTTCATGTTTCCCCGCTAAATTTAGCGAGGAAACACGAACCATTACCTCACCGAAGATGCAAGACGCTACTTCGTCGTCGCCAATCCTTTTCCCTTTGAACGGCTGCGAAGCCGTTGCGCCCGGAGTATCCTATGCAGCATCTTTCAAAAACCGTTCGCGCAGCATGGCAGCTTTCGTTTGTGATTGTTGGTGATTCATAGTGTGTTAAAGTGGGAAGATGTGCTGTGTCCTTTTTGGTGTAAATATTTCGTGAAAAAATTTGAAGTTTAAAAACACGAACCTAGCAGTGTACACACAATTTTACATTTATGGATAAAACATATATATTTATTTGTCTGTTTAATGGGGGTAATCACATTGTCCCCCATCTCGCCCTAAAACAAAACTGCTGGGCCGATTTGAATAAAGTTTATTCTCTCTCTCTCTATGTCTATTTATTTGTGGACATCATACGCAAAAAAGTCGCCCTTAGTTTTTCATTTAAAATTATAATGTGGGTTATACGGCGTAAAACGTAGTATCTTCAAACCTACATTGTTTTGGGCCACTTTTGGGCTGGGCAGCTTCTTGGAAGTTCAAATGCTGGACTTCACAGAGCTGTTCTATTCACTCAGTATTGACAGTAGGGTAGACGCTATGCGTGTTTTAGGTCAAACGTGTCTCCAGTTAGAGTCACGTGACTACGGTTCAGAAGCTGGTCATAAGGCAGAACACGGCACCTGCCTGAAGTCCAAGGCCACACATAGCATTCACCAGAGTGTCGAACCGAAATTTTTATCGGTTCGTTTCCGGTTCGGGTTCACGGCTTTCGGTTCGGTTCCGGTTCAGTTCCGGGGAGCAAAAAATAACGGTTCAAACCGGTTGGAACCGGTTCGAACCGGTTTGAACCACTAAATTGATAATATATTTTCCGCGTTGTTCTGACACTATACACTATTTACGCCGTGAAACAATCAACTATATAGTTTCTCCTCTCATCTGTGCAATTAACTTTTTTTTCAAATACCAAAAGTATGAAATTCATTTTTTTTTAAATTTCTTAACATACATAACGGCGTGTTCATACGACATCACATACACATTACCAGTAACATATATTTACCTGAATCCAAATGTTTCAGTATAACAGTAAGGAGCTGAGCTTGTTGGTACATACCTAAAAAATTGATCAGCTTGGAATTTAGTACTATACTGTCTTTTCCTGTCCTTTCTTTGTGTTTAAGTAAAATTCTAAAATTCAAGCTGATTTATTCACACAGTATAAAATGTTGACGCCAAGTGTGGCATGGTCACCAAAAATACCCTTGATTGGTACAACTTTGTGTCGCAGTATTAAAAGTTAAATCGTGATTGTGTCCTCAAACTAAGGAATTAATTACTGCACAAAATTATGAAATGGGCGCCTCGTGGCCATATATATCGTGAAATATTGTTTACTAAATATGTTTCACAATATATATATATGTATATGATGACGACACAACTAAGCAAAAGGCAATGAAATTTTCAAAATGTCACGAAAGTTCTAGGATAATCCCCTTCAGTCTATTTTTTAAAGAAATGCCGAGCGTCAATCAAAATGCTTGTTGTTTTAACCAAACATTGCTTACACTCAACACCGCGATGCATGCGACTAATCATGCAGCAAGGAGCAATCAAAATTGTTCAGTCTAATCTATATGCACATTCGCACTCAGATCGAATCTTGCCCAAAATAGCGCTTGCCCACGTTAGTTCACATTTTCTTATACAGGATAAGCTGGCATAGCCTGGCTATTGAGGTTTGCTCTTGACAAGAGGCCGGTCAATTTAATTTGCAAATGAGTATCACCCTTGCTAATTGATTATTTTAACGCAATAGCACTGAGAAGCTCATATCGCAGAAAAGCCGATTTCGGTGACGTGACTGGAAAATCCTGAATGGTCGATAAGGTCATGACGTCAGAGCAACATGCCCTCGCTCAAGAATTTCAAACAACTCACAATGCTCACGTGAAACGTGACATCACGCATGGAATGAAAGTGATTAAAACATGACATGTAACGTGAATTGCAGGTCGCCGTATGTCTCTAATAATTTCTCTTTGCCTTAAAGGAAAAAAAAAGAATTTTAGGAGGGATTCGATCCCACGACCCTTCGGTTGCGAGTCAGACGCTCCTGACTAGGCAACCGAGGCACGCTTGCGCGGCAAGTAAGGAGGCGATTTTAAAGCCGAAGCTTAAGCGTCCCCCAAAGTACCTTCTTTATTAAGTAAAACGAAGTAGTATTTAAAGTTTTTCTCGGCATGGCAGCTACTTAATTGGATATTTTCTGACAGTTTGCGTGCGTAATCGTCATGGTTCAGCCGCGCGCGCCCCTGTTTACTTTGTTTTTGTCCAGCCCAGAGACACATTAAAGCAATGTTTACCATATAGAAGAGGCAATAACAGGCTTCTATATGTTTAAGAAGTTATATTTGTGAGGAAAAAATTGTTGTTTAAATTAGCTTTAAAATCAGAAATGTATGTAAAGCTGTCCCAAATAACCTTCAACGTGCCTGTCGAGGATACAAACGCCGGAAAAGATTGGCAGAACACAGTTCAAATAATTTTGGGGGGCATAGCTTTTGGGTGGTCGGCCATTTATTTATGTTGTCAAATATTCAGTTAGCAAAGCAATATATTATTATAATGATCAATAAATATTACCTTAAAAGTTCACATAACCGCTTGAGACCGACACGGAAGGAAGATACTCGAAACTACGCGAGCTGTTGAGTCTGCGTAAAAGTGTTTTTCTGTTTGCTGATTGGCAGTGTGAAACATCGGGTTGTAGGGTACGCTAAAAAGGACTCTGTGTTCACATGACAGATCTGAAAGCAAATACTCG